CTCCATTACTTGCATATAGCCTACTTGCGGCTGCCATCTTTAATCCCATAGCAAAAACAATATGTCTGAACAAAAACACGCGCACAAATACACACACAGCATATTGCACATAAAGGGTGAGATGGGTAAATTGTCGTCTAAATGGAACAAAAATGAAATCAATAACGACGTCTCATTTTAACAGATATATTTAAAACAATTACACAGAAATATCTTGAAATGTATTCAATAAAATCGCCCTAGACTTCAACTACGGCCTTTAAACGACTTCGGATTCTCCTGCAACTCTTCTGGATAGACTCCCTCTTTAAGTTGGTTATTACTGTCATAATCCTTGCCTACAGTTCATATTTAGTGTTTCACGGAGTTTTATTGTTCCGTCCCTCAAGTAATCACCACATATATTAACCAAGGGGGTTGAGGTCTGGGGGAGTGTTAGATGGCCAGATGGAAGGAGTGATGTGGTCGCAGAAATTGTATGGCGGCCATGATTAGAAACTTCTACTTGTGTGGCATGTTGCCGATTCCTGTTGCCAGAGAGTGGGTCTTTCAGTAGCAATCCAGTTGACCTAAAGAAGCACTAACACCTCAAGGCCCTTGAGGTGTGCATACGTGTAGTTTCTGTCTGAGACCCTGTGAGGAGGTGAATGGAGTCATAAATTTGACATTGATAGTTATCCCTCCAAACACAGTGATGTTGTCTGGATATATCATTCAACTCTTTCCGAATCCTCTGCACTGTCCTCAGATTGACACCCAAATACACCGAAATATTTGTATTGGATCTTCCGGCGCGAATACCTATCAGTACAGCATGCTGTTTACAAATTCTTGCAGACTGAATTGTGTCATGGTGGTCTTTTTTCTCATAGACAGTTCCTAACTGACTCTATTATACTGTGCAGTCGACAAAATCAAAAACAAACCATGCGAATGTGCAAAATGAAAAAATATAAAATACACAGAGTTTACACATAGCACCCTTTATATGCGTACATACACATATAGGGGCACTACGAATTGTAATGGTTAGCAAGCTTGTCCCTCTAGATCAATTAGAAATGAATAGTGAGTTCGATCCTCATGGGGTGCACCATACTTTAGACCTTGTACCATATCTAAGCTGCGCATAGACAATCGCCATACATACACATATGGACAATTATATGCGGGGGAGTCGTAATATATTTTCATTATTTTTACTAATCATTTCGCATTTCATTTAATAAAATCTATTTAATTAATTTTAAAATGTAACTCTCTTCTCTGGTAACTTAAGCGTAATACTAGATTTGCGGTAAAATCTCATAATTTGAAAGTTGCAATTGCTGGTTTTAACTGTTGGTTTTAGCAGTTATTTTTCTCGCATTTCACGCTTGTAGAACTCTTTCCCGTGTACTTGCTTTCGATCGTTATCTGCTATCTTCTGAAGTTCTACTTTTTTATTGATATTGTTCCTTAATAGTGCTTTTGGTTTTCTTATAAAAATTCGCAGAAATTTCCCTGTCTTATTGGCTTTGTTGCTTTTCTTGTAGTGAAATGATTAAAAGAAATCAAAATTAGAAAGAGCTAATATTATTATCACCATGCTTGTCTTTCAGGCTTGTACTTTTTTTCTTTGCATTTCATCAGTATATCCAGAAATGTTTCCGAAATCCATATCCGGATGCGCAGAGTCTAGAGCAGTGTGGGCATCCTCCACACGTTTTATATCACCTCATATTATTATGATATTTTGCAATTAGTAACAATATCTTTTGCTTCCATATTAGTTCCGCCATTATTTGGTTATAAACAAGATCATAAAAATCGCTCGATTTCAGTTATTCACGCTGTTAGCACTAAGGCTAAAAATCTTTTTAAAAATGCTGTCATAAATTTATTAAATATTCATTAATTATTGAAATCATTTCTAAAACCTAATGTATATCCGGATTACAAGAACAAGAGATTGATAAATATCAATCTAGTTAAAACAAGAATAAATATTTTTCGAGAGCTTCGATGAATTCCGTTACAGTTTTATCCATTGTTGATAAGCGTAAAGAAATTGTATCAAAGATTGCGAGATCCTAGAATTTCGGGAAATTTTTAACAGAGGAAGAGAGAAAATTAACGAGAAGACATTCGTTCATTCCGCCATAGAACATACAGTATATATGGACAGATGTAATAAAAGCAGGAACAGTTAAAAAACTATCTCAAATTGTTGAACAAAATCACGACGTCAAAAAAAAAAAAAAAATCACCAAATCAATTAAACTAAACTTTCTTTGCAAAGATACTCTAAAGCTCAGCTAAAATGAAAATAGGGGAAAATGATAAAAAAATTACAAAAAATCTCAGCAACACATAAAAAAATCCTCAAAACAGCCACCAATACACAAAAGAATGTAAGAATATCGACGACATGATATTTGCCTAAATAAACACATAATACACAGAGCTATTGTAAAATCCAAAGCAAACTCGGACAAATCTCTATCGGAGTGACAGTGATCAGTTGAAAGACGCTACCAGCAAAAACACCATTTGACAATTAATAATAAGCAAATATAACTCTCATCAAGATGGAACTCAGAAACACTAAACAGCAAAAATAACTTTATTTACATTATTCGGACTATTGTCCTTATCTTTGTCGCCATACTTATTATAACGTTTCGGCCGAAACGTTGTAATAAATATGGCAACAAAGATGAGGAAAATAGTCCGAATAATGTAAATAATGTACATAATACCTCATCTCAAACATATAGAGAGATAGCAAAAATAACATGGTAAATAAAACAAAAAACATCTCACCGTTTTATATACAGTGAAATATTCAGATCAATGTGTTATCATGTGATCTTTTGGGATACATACATACATACATACATACATACATATATATATATATATGATAAGCAAATATAAATGGATATAAATCCGACAGAATGAAGAAAATATCTGGAAAAAACAAAACAAAAATCATTAAAATGCGATTATGTTGTTTTAATATGAATGAAATGTCGACGTCTGACGTTTCGGTTTAATAACCTTCTTCAGGACAATATTCATTAAAAATACAATTAACATAATCAGTATAACACGACGAAAACGATGGACATAAAAACAAGTCTTATCCAAAACAGATAAATGAAAATTTTAAATGATCAGCTTTCCGTTTGAGCGTGGTCACGTTGTCGTCAAATGGGCGACGCTTTCACAACGTATTCGTAACAATTTTATAAATTTGATTCCCATGGAAAGATTTTTCATATATACAGTTCGTTAGAAAATCTTTTCTGTTCTTGTAGGAATACGCGGAGACTAGTAGTTTACTGTAATTTCGGATAAGCATGCAGTCCTCCATGTAATAAAATGAATTCAGGTTTGTATTTCCATTGGACAGTATGATAAGCAAATATAAATGGATATAAATTAAGGATTTTTGTTTTGTTTTGCCAGATATTTTCTTCATTCTGTCGGATTTATATATATATATATGGTAAAATATGGTTTTATGGTATACGATATTATGAGTTATCAGCGATAGAGCGTATGAAAATATAAATGCGGATATTGCGTTCAACACTCAGCGGACAATGTTTCATTCTTATACACAATTGTCAGGTCACACACACAAATATATATATATATATATATATATATATATATATATATATATATATATATAAGAACTATGTGACTAACTACTAACTTACTGATCACTTACGTACACATAGAAACTCATTATTTTGGGATATGAAGACATTAAAAAATGTGGAAAACGTTAAAGAAAAATGAAATATTTTCCTGGGCATGAATTGGATACACAGATGATTGGAGCGGGCTGGATCTTCACAGAAGCTGAATATCTATCGCCACCATTAACTTGGCCTCGTGAAATTCTGTTGGTTTAAGTGAGCATAACCGGGCAGTTCAGAAATGAGATGAGAATGCCGAACTGTTTGGGAAAATCAGGCTAAGGAAATTTGATTTAGGAGCGTCTAAACATGTCAAATGTTTCGTCCGTCTTCGAACTCGAAAACGCTGTCAAACAAAGCAATTTTTCACGTCCATCTCTGAAAGGCTACTAAGATTATACGCTGATGTTTGTAATTTTCATTTGGTGTGAGTTGTTGGCCTTCCCTCGTGACAGAATCGCGCGAATTATGCCACTACTATCAACTCACCAGTCAAAATCAACTTGAAACAAATTTGTCTCCACTTCGTTATGGGCAAGCATACAAGGCGCCATTTTAGATTGTGTTTATTTTCCGATTTACTAACACAAACCGACAGTTATCTATCACTGTCCCCTTTAGACTTCTACATGCATTACTTTCTTGTCTTACTTTATTTTCCTTTTAATAAGTTCACCACATTATCTTTTTTTTTTATCCAGACTTCTTTCTTGAATATCTTTAATTTTTTTCCCCCTTTTGGACGCTCTTTTCATTACCTTTCTTATTTCTAACTCTTCATATTGGTGTCGCTTTTCCTTTTCTGCCTGTTCTCTTTTTTTATTTTTACCGATTTGTTTTATTTTTAATATCTTCTTTCTCTCTATTCTTTCTCTCAACTTTTGATTTTATTTACTTCTTTCTACATATTTATTCTCAGTTTTCTTTTTCTTTCCATGTTCTTTGTTCTGTTCTAATTTCATTCAATATTTCTTTACTATTTTTCTATATTCACTTTTATCGTTTATGACTTTCAAATTTTACAAAATTGTAGATACACGTTTATATTTCTAATTCATCTTTTCTGATTTTCTTTCATTATATATATATTTTAACTTTTTAATTGTATCATTCTTTGCATCGTTTTTTTTATATTATAGCCGTAATTTTTATTAAGTTTAATATAGATACAGAGGTGAAATGTGAGTTATAAAAATGTGTTGCCTTATTTGTCGTAGAAGAAAAATTATAATTGCTTTTGAAATTAATACAGAAAAACAATGTCATATAATTGGGTGCGACGACTAAACAATGGAAACGAAACCTATAATGCAACTAGGAATTACTCCTGTTATATATTTCCTTTCTTTTCCTTCTTTTTGCTATTCATTATCTATAAGTGACATCTCCTTTTCGTCTTTAATTTCATCTGACTCTTTCAGTTCGACTTTCTTTCTTTTCATTCCTTCATAATACTCTCTCTTCTTACATCTCGAAATTTCTACCTGCGCATATGTCACCAGCAACAAACACAGTAAAATTCTCTTTCTCCTTCCTATTTCTCTTGTACATCACTTTTATCAATCTTCCTATTTCTACATCAATCTCCGTATCTCCATTCTTTCTTCATATTCTTGTTTGTCGCTCTTTTCAGTTTTCCCCTTGTTCATTCCAACGCTTTCAGTCTTCTAGTCTTTCTCTTTTCCATCTTCCTTAGCAAAATGGACGTCATCCCGAGAGAATTAGTGTCCAGCTTCTCTGTTCAACTGATGTGTATTATAGCAACACCAGCAACAACACCGACATCACTAACTTCGTCCTAGCAATCATCCAGAAGTAATGGAATTAATGGCGACCATCCAGAGGAACCATCACTGTCAATAATTTCAGGCATTATAGCCATCACCACAGCAAATATCCAACTCCTCCACTCCTCAAGGACAGAACGAAATGGTGCGAATTCTACTCTAGTGGCATTTATTTCACTCTATATCTATTACTGCCTGAGAAATGTTTGACTGGACAAAATCCAGTCATCATTCGACCCTTAATAAAAATAATATTCGGTTTTCGTAATAATCACCTCAGAGTAAATGGTTGTTACAGTGCATTAATCTAAAAAATTACAAAGATCATTCGGCCATTACGTTTATTCTTTTTTCTTCTTCTTTTGTTTTTTTGCTTTTTCTAATTTGTTATAGTGTCTACTGCGATTGACAGTTTTTCAAAGCTTCTAAAAAGAGTGTAGAGACCATTCCAGGAAAACGAATGACTGTGTTTCGTTTTAGTATTTTAGACGAATTGGTGGAATTAAATCAACTAAGAAGTGTAAGAATCGTTCAGAAAAAGTATTGAATAAAAACATCAGATTTCTCGACTTACTAAAAAAACATGGGAAACATATCATCAACAGATGTTTGCTTACAATCACAATAATAATGATACTGTTCATAAAATATGTACAATAACGGAATTAATAAGCGGAAGATCGACAGTAATAATTGCTTATAGACATCGTTGTAGTTATCTCTTTAATAGTATAAAGTAAGACCGCAAAAATTATTCAAGGAGAAGTTGATTAAAACATTAGCAATAGTCGTCAAATTCAATATTTCTTCATATCTTCCGAGGCTACGAAATTGATCCGAGCAATTTAAATATAAATTGATAGAAACAAGATCGGCTTTCAAAACAGAATGCCATCTGAATATTCATGGTTACTTGTAAGTCTGTATGTTTAATAGTCTTTTCTTAGTATTTGAATTTATATTTTCTGTCAGATCAATAATTTCGAAAGTAAAGATGTCTGCATAACATGAAAAAAAGATTCTAAATCAATATCCGTACATTTCAGATCAAAAGGCGCCCCTTTAAACATTCATTAATCAATATATTGAACATATTTTCTTAGTCTATTGAAAGAATTATTACTAATTTCTTGTTAACCAAGTACGTGTGATTCATATTAAATATATATTTTATATCATGGCAAAAGCTAATGAACGTATTCTTTTCAGTCAGTGATATTTATCTGATGTTCAGTCTAGTTTTCTAATTGAAATGGCAAACGCAGCACAATATTTATTATATTATACACCAATTTGCAACCAACTAGTAGAATGTTTGAAATTACCGGAATAAAAATCTTATATAATGTGATTAAATTTATTTCTTGATAACATTCACTTGAAAAATATTTTCAGCAATTAAGCAGGAGGACGACATCTTATTCTTACAATAGCAGATTGTAAATCTGGAATTTGTAAATTTTCACAGGAATCGTTGAATTTCTTAAGGTATTCGTATTGGGCGCCTATCGAGTTAATTTTAAATGAATTGTTTTAATCTATTAAGGTAAAATTGATAAACGAGACTGTATCGATATTACTGTAATATATATCATGCTTTCTCTGTAGAAACTGATTTTAGGACGTTGAATTTCCATTGGATATTTCTTAAATCAATGGAATGTAGACAAATTTTATAAAATCGCTGAGATAACCTGACATTGCAACATAAACATTTTACATTCATTGAAAATATGCCAAACAACTCACATAGATTCAATGGCACTCAAAACTAGGAAGATAAATAGTATGGTCAATAAGAAAGAGTATTTGTATTGCGAGTAAACAAACAATGTTGTCTTTAATTTTTAAGCGGATTTTCGTTGAAAGCGACTTGAAGGTCTATACTGTGATATGAGTTTGATTGTTTCTCCGTCTTTCTGTAGAGACAGACATGATTTATATGGGAAACGTAAACTCGGCTTTGTAATGTTGCCTCACGTTATATAACAGAAACATACAATATGAAATCAATTGTAATATTTTAGTTACACTATACAAAATCTAAGCAATGAGTGGAAAAAGTGCCTAGTTTTCTATCAGGAAACATTAGCAAATTTCCGTCCGATAACTCTTTGACGACGCAGTATCCGTGCAACTATAAATTTGAATGGATATTAGGCAACAGTTCACTCGAGGGCTTGGAGAGAAAAAAAGTCATAAACACAGGTTCCAAACGATCAACAAATGAACTATAACAATGTCACTGACACTGTGATTTTATGTTGAGTCTTTTGTAGATATTGTACGCCGATAGAAGAAATTACAGAGAAAATAAATAACAACAGAAATAATGATAATAAAACAAAATAAATCGACCTCCTCACTTTACCTGTGACAGTTCAAATATAATATAATTAATTCTTTCTGAAAACAATGCAAAAGAGCAAATGCTATTCGTGGTAAAGATACAGAATTCCGTCTTCGGTTTAATAATCATAAGAAAACTGTCAAAATAAAAAAAACAAACAGAATCATTTTCACTCGTGCTGCACATTCCAACTAGAATATAATGGTAGATACGTCCTCTGAGTATCTTCATTTCAATGTCAACAAGAACGCGACTAAATTCCGGATTAAATGGCATTTGTAAAACAGATGAACTCATGCTAGCTGAAAAGAGCAATTTAGGCATACTCAATGTGTACAGTTGCGACAAAAAAGCTATCTACCAAAAACGCTACAAACCTAATCCTCGTACGCAACCCATCCAGTAATACGACATTTCATCAGTTATAACTTCTACACACCCAAAAAGAAAGAGTACAACATGATTTTTATGTCTAGTTGAGAAAGGGCAAAATTCCGATTCCAACATCTTTTCCCATCATCCTTTTATTTGATCAGAAGACCTACTTATGTCAAATAAAAATTATTAGTCTTGATTTCAATAATTATTTTATCTCCTGAATGTTTTTTCTCGGCCTAATATACCTACATATTATGAGAATAATACTTGATCAATCTTTCCATACTATATATATATATATATATATATATATATATATATATATATATATATATATATATAGCGTTGGTGCAAACACGAGTCCGGGCATTGGCACTGCTTGAAAGAGTCCATCGATGAGCAGCTCTTATGTGGCTCTTTAGGCTAACCAAAAACGTGCATTTTTTTGGCAGAGGTATGGCAAACATGAACATCACAGGAAAAAGATGACAGATGACGTTAAGTCGAACAATCCCGTTGTTGATTGTCTGTCATGTTTCTCAGTAGCAGGATAACGACCGAGCCCAGGCTACGGAACCTAGGGAGACCTGGCGGGTCAGAGCCATTCACAACTAGTTCCGGAGACATTATTGCCAATGATGCTAATATCATTAGAAGCCTTCATTGAATGGGTTTGCACTTTTGGCTACGGCCAGCCATTATGTTAAGACACATTAAGATCCTGAAGTCTTCAAGCAATGCCTGTCCGTGAAGTTTCTCTTTTTCTTAACTGTAGAAAAGCTTTGCACGAAAACAATGACCCTCTGTGTGTGACTGCGCGCTATAACCAAAAACAAGAAAAGGACTCCATCACTGGAAGCAACAGGCAACACACATATCAGATTTTTTTTCTTCTCGTATAAGTCTGCTTTAATGATGACGCTGGGGACAAATCCACCAATTCATTTTCCAGCTCCCTCATACACCAACCTGAGCATTTCCGGCACAATATATATATATATATATATATATATATATATATATATATATATATATATATGTATATATATATATATATATATATATATATATATATATATATAGAGAGAGAGAGAGAGAGAGAGAGAGAGGTGCGAAGAGTAAATTGTCGCCATTTAATATTTTTAATTTTGCCCATGCGCGTTATCTGCTCATAGCGTATCAAATGTAAACAAATGACGTCACACATTATGAAATGAACAAAGTCCGACAATTATTTTAAGACATTTTATGTTTATACATTCTTTTTATAGTCACAGCTATTTAAGTAAATGCTCTGTTTATAATAAACAGTATTAAACATCATTTACCGACTTGAAAATTTCTTAAATTCTGAAATTGATATTTAATTCAAAACCTCTTTGAAAATAAAATATTATTGACCTGATGTTGTAACATATTAAAATATAAAGAAGAAGACATTTTGTGAGTACCGCGTACTACGATAAGTCATTCGCTCTGTATCCACTGCGAACGCGTCTGAACTTGACAATAAGCTCCGAATAAAGATAATTGATGTGTACAAAAAAAAATATCTTCCAAGACTTTAAATGTACCTTGATGGAAAACAATTAGGCTTATCAAGAAGTACAACGAGACTCATTGTGTTAAGAATAAATTAATGACTGGCAGAAAACGGTTAATTTCTCAGAGAATGGAATAGAACATTGTAAGAGATTTCTCGAAAAATCCTCATTTAAGGACAAATGACATTGTCAATGACGTAAATTGTTGAATGTATCGACGGAGAGAGTTACTAGATGCTTTCATCGAGCAGCATTTCGAGGTTGTCTCCAAAGGAAATAGCCTTTGTTTAGGGCTTAAACATCTAAAATATAGATTAGATTCTAGAAGACACCTGGAAAATGGGAGTACATACTGAAACTGTTTTTTATGGTCAGATATGGGATTTCTCAAAAGCTTTATCGCTTTAACACCTGGCAGAGCGTTCCATACACAAAATCACCGCGATTTTTTCGACAGAGATCAGTTTGCTTAATGCCGTGCAGTTACTGCTGTTCGGCTTTAAAAATAACATTATGAGTGGGTTTAACATCTTCTCGCATGTTTAAAAATGTATTTCAAATATGCCATAAAGCTGTGGCCTTTAATGTATTTCCATTGAAATGCATTTTCAAAATATGTACGTCATAATAATTCATCTTGTTGAATTCCGTGTTCCACCAGGAAACGGCGATTACAGTTA